GTTCTTCTTCCTCTCTCTCCCAATGATTCCTTTGTTCTTACCCTTTTAAGAGCCCTGGTTGCCGGAAGCTCTTTTGCCTGACGAAAGTGACTTCACCCTCAGGCCTTCGGTCCCGTTCATGTATGGGTCACAGGATTGGTTTTTCTTTTAACCTAACTGGCTGCACATGCAACTTTCAGGATTTATTTTCTTTTTCCAAAGCAGCATTTGTCAGAGATTATCCGTGGTTGATTGCTTTGGGTTGGCCTGATTTGGTCACAGAATTGCTTCCCACTCACTCAGCACAGTGATTCCTGGCTCTGGGCACTTTTTCATAATGTCCCCATAAACAATTCCCGTTCGTGCTTTTCGAGCAGGCCGCCCTGTCCTGTCCTTGTTTCACCCATTTGAGTAGCTGCTCAGCACAAACATGTGAACTTGTATGTTATTTGTGCACAACTTTTCATGCCACCCCCTCCACGCTCCCAATGGAGATGCGTGCCTATGTTACAATTTGTCATTTCTCTACCAGTGGCCTTGCTTTGTATTTCACGTAGGAGTGACCTTTGGAGAACTGTGATGGGAGAGTGACCCCTCAGACTACCTGGATGCGGTGGGCGGGAGCTTGGTGTAATCAGATCTTGGAGCCGAGTGCCACCTCGGCGCCACATCTTGGAAGCCTGCCAAGGCCAATTCACCGGGCTCTCTGATCTGGTTTTCTACTTGACTTGCAATGCTTGACAGCCTTCTGCAAAGATAACACATCCCTCTTACAGCTTTCAGCTTGGGATCTCCGGTGACAGGTTTCAGACGAGCAGAGGGTTCACTCAATGCAAGCTGATTCATGACCTTGGTCTTCCCGGGGCTGATTATCCATCAGTCTGTCACTCTGCTGGCCTCCTGGAGTGAGCCACCACTTGTTGCGTGTCTGTGAGTGCCGAGCGCTGGTGCTGGATCAGATTTTAGACTCGGCTGTCCGAAAGGAGCAAACAGTCTCAGAGACTTCAGAAGAAGCACAGCGCTGAGAAGTAGAGAGAAATCCTTGTTTCTTCCCAAACAGTGCTCATTCCTATGAAATTGATGGCATCCAACTAGATGGGCCAATATCGCATAAATAATCTAAGATGATTCTATAGGAGTGGCTTTTTAAAAGTGGCAGCCATTTATAGGCAATTTGGGACAAGGACATGGAATTGTTTTTCCAGAAAGATTTCAGCATATGGTGGTTTAGAATCTTGGGTGCAGAGATCAACCTGCTTTGTTCTTTGTATTTATTTGATAAGCACAAACCTGAAAACATTTCTCATTTTGTAAACTTTAAAGTGTCAAGTGAGTTCATAAATTTTCCAGTGTTTTAGAGAAATGACGATTCAGTTGCTTTGTCTGTTATGCATGGATTTTATAAGTTCAGGTGAATGACCATGCACGTGTGGTTCAAGGTGCAGTGTGTCTAAATTAAAGGGGGAGGTGTGCCCTAGCTGGTTTAGCTCAGTGGATAGAGCATCAGCCTATGGACTGAAAGGTTTCGGGTTCAATTCCAGTCAAGGGCACATGCAGGGTTGATGGAATTTTTAAAACATGCAATTCCTTACTACTTAGTTAGGGGCAGTGCCCTCTTTCCCCTTGGATTAGCAAATAAAAAAATGGCCACAGCCAACACAGTAATAGCCATTTGAAGTAAGTCAACAGTATACATTTGGGGGGTGGGGGCAGGAGTAAGGTGCAGGAAGCAGCCGATCAATGATTCTCTCTCGTCATTGATGTTTCTATCTCTTTCTCCCTCTCCCTTCCTCTCTGAAATCATAAAAATATATTTAAAAAATAAAAACAGAAAAAATAAAGGGGAGATTGCTAATATTACAGTGGGTAGTATTGACAGGCAACCTGGAGAATATCAGTTTAAAAATACAGCTGTTATTGTACTGTAGTTTTGTAAGATGTTCCCATTTGTAGAAACTAGATAAGGAGACACAAGTCCTCTGTATTATTTCTTACAACTGCATGTGCATCTATAATTATCAGAAAAATTGAGACTTTAATGAATAAAACCCCATGTCATGAGCCACATGGCCTGTCTTTGTTACAGCCATTTATTTTATATCTAAGTTGCCTGCTTAGATGAAGAAAAAACTTTAATCATTAATTTTTAAGCAACACATTTTTCTTCTCCAAATGTCTTTTCTTGAAACTTGTACTTTTAGAAAATAAATTAGGAAGTAGTATTTGTTTTTTCTGATGGAAATTTACAGGCCACTTATCTGTAAAATAGACTGTCTTTTGGATATTAAAATATGAATTTAG